TCTGAACCCGTTGTAACAATTACTCGCACTCATAAACAATATTGCCTTCATCTTTTTCTTCTTGTTTTTTTTTCTATTCAGTAGGTGACCATGTGGAGCAGGTTTGGCCATTTATCTTCGCTATTTGTTACTTCTGGCAAATGGAGTTCAAAGCGCAAATGTATATAAAAAAGAAGGCCAACAACAATAAATTAAAAAGGAAAATTTCGCGAATTAAAATGATCTATGCCACAAATGCAACTTGCATTGAAGCTGCAGACATTCCTCGTCGTGCTTCCACAACCTAGTTTTGTTTCAAATAGAATTAAAATATTATTGCTTTGCATAACTGAAGAGTTTCAGTTTCCCCACCCAAATTAAATTAACATATTGCCTTTTTACATTTTCGTTTGGCGTCTGTATCTAAGTTTTTGTCATATATTTCTACTACGTATAGCCCGAAAATTTATTTTATTCCGCTGAAAAAGCCATAAACGCCCCAAAAAAATCAGCTACCGGCCGAGGTTGGTCTGACTCAAAGACAGGCACAAAAAAAGTCAGAATATCCGACGCTGAAGGCAAACAGTTTAAACGTTGTTCGATTAAATATTTTGTTGAGTTTATAAAAAGAATACCAGCAAAAAGGGTCTTTTTTTGTTAATTAGGACAAGCGGGATCGCTACATTTTCTGGTTACTCCGATCTTTCCTGGTCATTTCTGAAGTTGATTGAAATCAACGTTTATGCAACTGTATTGTGATCCCAGAAAGCTGCGCCAGAAGTGACGGGACGAATATCCGTTTTCTTTATCCGCATCCTTCGTGTCGTTTCCCAAAGCAAATAACTTCAATGTTGTTTGATAAGAGGGTCGACGTTCTTGAAGCAAATCAATGTAGTCACCTTCCCCTGGCTCTGGTAAGATCTCGTCGATCGCCGCCTTGTTGCCGTGAATCGCCGACGAAACAGCGCGGATGGTGCTTTCAATAAATGGGTGACTGGACCCATTGCCATAGCTATGATTAGGGAACGGAAAACACGGTAAAAAGCCTTTATGTTGAACGATTCCCATGATGTCATCGAGCCACCCTTGAGAGACAAACTGATTTCTAGCGACAAGCGGACGGGTGTCAATGGGAGGTAGAAATGAGTTGTACTTGACATACCGACGGTCATCTGTCATGGTTTGATGAAGTGAGGTGGGTGATACTGTAAGTTTTGCTACGCAGTCATCTTTCTCCCACATCAGCCAGAAACCATCGAGTTCGTCGAAAAGGTCATCCACATCTCGCAATTTTCCACCTAAATGCATATTATCTACCATTATATTATTTGCCCAAGCAACCTTGGAATAAACCTCGATTGAAAAGAGCCCCAGTTAGGTCACATGACAGGCTTATACTTATTATTTTCAGTAGCTTTGGGGTACCCATAAGTCAAGGGTACATGCAATCCCCACCGTAAACTGCCGCTCTTATCATGATATAAGCCCTGGAACTGGCGCTGGGCTTATAGTAACAATCTTTGTAAGGAGTTAGGAGGGATTATAAATGGTGGGGCTTGTACCAGAAAAAAAAAATGCGTTCTGGGGCAGCAAGCCTAGGCATTTCATATTTTACAGCCTGTAAATTCGAAGGCTGTTTCCCAGTTCTCTTGGGTAGCCATTGAGATTAATAAAGAGGAAAGTTCGGTTGCATATACTTTAACCCTTTAAGAAAGAAGAGTGATAAAAAAAAAACAATTTTCTTAATCTAACAATATCGCTACATTATAAAAGAGAAAAGGTTTGGAGAAATAATTTTTAATTACTCAGGCCACTATCTAATTAAATATGCTTATTTCGATAAAATGCTATCTGGAACGGTTTGCTTCGATCAATGATTATGAAAGTAGCCTAATAGCCTTAGCAATACGAGACATTTTATAAGCCCAAGTTTTCGTCACTTAACTGATCTTGAGAATTAACGGTAAAAATATTTTCTCTAAACTGGGAAAATGATAATGAAAGAGCAACAAGTTATGTTAGGAACATTTCAGAGGCTATTAAAAGGGGGTCTGAAAAATTCGCCTTGCTTCTACGTCAATAACAGCACCGCAGGTAGATTCTATTACCACACAGAGCATGTTCATGGTGGCAGGCGAGAATTCCACGGAGACCGAGTTAAAAAGACAACATCAAGCCTTGAAACCTGCGTAGGTGAAATCGAGAATGGAATGGAGTCCACTCTACCCTCGGATCTACTGCGGTCAGTTAACCAATCGAGACAAGGGTGCGAGCTCATGGCTTACCACAGTGCCTTTTGTCGATCAAGGCTTAGCGCTGAATAAACAAGAATTCAGAGACTCTCTGCGTTGAAGTCATAATATGCCCCTGTCCGACTTACCAAGCAAGTGTGTTTGTGGTGAGAAGTATACCGTCTGCCATGCCCTGTCATGTAAAAAGGAAGGGTTCGCGCGTGGCGCAGAGACACCATGATGTTCCCAACCTAACGTTGAAGTCGAACCTGAACTACAACCTCTTGATAATGAGCGATTCAACTTCAAAAGCGCGGTAACAAGCCCGGCGTCAAGACTGGACTTAAAGGCAGGGGACTTTTGGTCTCGTGTAGCTACAGCATTTTTCGATGTCAGAGTAACGCATGTTAACTCCAAGTGTAACCAGGGAAAAGCAATATCCACAATCTTTAAGGAGCAGGAGGAGAAAAAGCAGAATTACCAACAGAGGCTGCTGGACGTTGAAATGGGATCTTGCACTCCCCTAGTTTTTGGAACCAACGGTAGGATGGGAGCCGACTGCAACTGCTTTCTCAAACGCCTAGCCGAGAAGCTCTAAGAAAAGAATGAGGAACGTTATCACATTACTATTACCTGTTCGGGATTAGGAAGTTGCTTTCTTTTGAGATTTTAAGGTCGGTACACACGTGCGTGTTCCAGGACACCCTTCCACAAAATTCCCCAAGGGGATTTCATTGATGACTGCCGCTTGAACACTAGCCAAGCGTGTGTCCGCTATTTTAGAAAGTGATAATGGCCTGAGCTTGTAAGTTAGCATTTTAGGATCTTTTTAATATTTTTATTTCATCAAAATTTTAGTCTATGGTAGTGGAATATAAATTTGTCATATGATGACTGCCGCTTAAAAGCTAGCCAAGCGTGTGTCCGCTAATTATAGAAAGTCGATAAATGGCGTGAGCTTGTAAATTAGTGTTTTAGGATCTTTCAATATTTTTATTCATCAAAATCTTAGTTTATCAAAGTAGATTGTAAATTGGTCATATGTTAAAAAAAGATTTTTATTTATCATGATTATCATTATGATTATGATTATGATTATTTATTCATTTACTTTTTTTAACACTCGCATTCAGCACTAGTACATGCACATTTGCTCATCTGTTGTGAAGGGCCTCGCCTTTAGCAGATAACACAATTAGAATTAGAATCAGAATCAGAATTAGAGTTGTCCATCAAATCATCGGTTTTTCAACGAAGTAGTCTTATGTTTACATTCAAGAACTATTTTGCGTGGTAACGCTACTTGCGAGCTCTAGCAACCAAGACGATGATAGGGAAAAAACCAAAAAAAACATTAACGTGCAGATTCCTTGGCCATCATCATACGACTAACGTTGTCAAAGTGATCGGAATGGAATGGCAATGCAATCGTTGTTTTAATCTCTCGAGACTTCGATTTCGTCGGAAATACCATAAAGTCCATCAGGGAGACTTACTCAGTCCTAAACCCCTTAAACATTATTTCCCAGCATTTTGGTCAAATTATGTAAACCAAGGAGTCGCAAAATACAAAAATTGCATTCCAGAGTTAGTGTCCGCTAATATAATAGGGCAAAATCCGGCAAAAGGTTCCAGAGTAAAGCAATACTAAGGCTCGTCCAACGTTATTTAACAAAAATCATAGAGACGTTTTCGCCTTATAAACAATGCAAGAAAAGGACCTGTTGTCTGTTGCTAAGATAGTTGGAACCATACCCTGCAGTAGGTGTCCATTTTCTTCGGCGCGCGAATGTTTTGTCTCACAAATATGGACCGTACTCAACTTCTGAAACGTGGGGGAGAAAATGGGGCTATGTCACGCCATTTACTATCTTTTTAAAAAGCTAAAACGTTTCTTTTAGGGTTACTATTTTTAATCTTCCAAAAATGACTCCGTCATTTTGATGGCATTTAACACCATAGTACGAACATAAACAAGCAGCCATCCTCTTTCCTGTTGTCTGTTACTACGGGATGGCCTGAAACATGAACATGGATTTTTAAAATGACATTTGTTTGATATATTCTTCATAACTCCACAGGAGAATTTTGTGAATGGGTTAATGCACTAGTTAACCCTTTAAACCCTAAGATCAAAAGTTGAATTCTCATTTGTTGTCCCTATTCATTTCCTACAGAAGTAGTGGGGAGAAGTTGATAAAATATCAACCAAATTTATCTTGTGTGATCATGTCCGTAATTCTCATGACCACTCTGTTTTACAAAGCATTGGTATTACGAGGAGAAATTTGATGCTGATCACTCTTAGGGCTTAAAGGGTTAATGACTTCGGCACCAACACAGCAATCAGGGTCGATCAGCCAGGGTTTTTGGGTACTGACTGGTAGTATATTGGGGTATTTAATTTCAGGTATACAGTATTTTTATTCTTAAAACTGAATATAGAATATTCGCTCACGACTAACTTTGGCTATAAAGTATACCGTGCTTTTCTTAATTTTGATATTTTACACGAGTGTTTAGTATAAGTTTTGGTATATTGGAATGTTCATTTCGGGTATTTTGGTATTCCACTACCCCGATTGAACGACCCTCAGCAATATCCTCGTGAACCCCTTTCCAAAGATAATGAAAAGCAAATGACCATTTTAGGGCTGAGAGAATTGTAGTATCCAGTTGCACTCTGGGACTGTTTGGGGCGGGAACGAACTTGCAAACATTACAGTTTCATCGTGCGATACGAGTGCAACACCACTCAAAATAGGCAATAAATGAGGTCAAAAGATTATTCTTCTTTATAGTCTGCTACTTTATTTGTTCCAATTCAATATTCCTCAGTTGTCTCTCACAAATGGAGACAATATTATTATACGAGATGAATACAAATGTTCGCAAGGATTCGTATAAAATGCCAATTTCAACTTATCTTGGGAGGAGAAGTCTTGCTTTGAATTAAGTGTTTACTTGATCATGAACGCCAGTCATTAACTATTAAATGCGACAGCTTTTAAAAAATAAGGTCAGCAAGCAAATCTACAGCCTTCCTGGCAGAAGCCTGAAGGTAACATAGGCGCAAGAATGAGCGGGGCAAGTTCCCTACCCCCTCGTACCCCGCTTTTTCATGTTACTTTTATGCACCTGCTTCATATGATGGCTGGTAAATACAGGGAAACTCATCCTAACTTTTTCCTCTCGGTGATACAGGGAGCAAAACATTAGAAAGCATGGCATGCCACAGGTGTAGTGTGACTATTAAATAGCTATTATATTGCCTGACTATTTGGTGTTAAAAAAGGTTTCCTAATAACCAACAGTAAAACAAACGACTAAGAACCTGGTTTTTAAGAACCTGTTAAGCTAGGCCCCCTCTCTGTAAGAGCCTGTTTAGCCTAAAGTTTGAAACAGGTTCTTATTTTCTAAAATCTGTATAAAAAACTCTGTACACTTGGGCAAATAACGTAAGTCTACATTCACAATCCTCTTTGGAGACATAGGTATGTTATCACTCCAACTGCAATGTAATGGTGTGCAGATTTTATAAACAAGCTGAATAAAACCAATACTCTTATCTTCAACGTATTTCTTTCTTCAGAAAATAAGAACCTATTTAAGAACCTACATATCCTTAATTTGTGTTTATTACTATTTATGTAAGAGACTGTTTAGGCTAACTTGGGAAAATCCATACTCTTAGTCGCAGGTTTTTACTGTATTTCCTTCAGGAGCTATTATATCCTTGGAAAAAATGAGCGACTCGGTAGAATCTTATCAGACAAAACTATATTTGCCAAGGAACTATCACCAAATAATCAGTTGTTATATTTATGAGCGCCATTAGAAATATTTCTAGTTTAGATTTCGAAAGTAAATGACAACGTTTCCAAAAGTTAAGTAGATTATGAAATACTGCATTCAACAAAATAAAACAGGGCACCCAAAAATGGAGTATTATTATAAAATAACTTCTTCTACAAGAATTCGGTGGTTCTCATTTTTGTGAAACAAAATTGAAAAAGTAAAACATCCATACTCAAAACAAAGTGGAAAAAATTGCTGTCCAGTGCATTGTAAGATGTCATGCCAAAATACGGAGGAAAATTTCTTCCAGGTGTAACTTACGGGCTATGGAACGACGTACCTGTGTTAGAGAACTTTCCTTTGTACATACCTCAAGAATATGAAAGAAAAAGGACAGGGGCCAACTCTAAAATGAGGGTTTAAAGACTTGACTGCAGTGGCTAACATTCAACAACGACTTGTTTGGCAACAATGATGTAGCCTGCGAAAACAACGATCTCTCCTCACTTCTCGCCACTAGAGAAGTTTCGCCGAGTGGGACGTCTGCACTTCAACGACAGAAATTCCATTCTAATGACTTAAAATCTGTCCGGAATATGGCTACGAGTTCTGATTGGTCGAGGTAGTAGTTACATTGTTTTAGCTATTGTTTACGAACGACAGACAAAAGACACAGGGTCTCAAAGCTAGACCAAGTGTAAATGTGATTAATAAACTAAAAAACAGTGAATATTTTATGGAATGTATTCTTCTTTAGAAGAAGCATTTGAGTTTTGCTGGAGCTTGTTTGCAAAACACAAACCCATAATCAAGGCGAGAAACATAAAATCAAACAAACTTACATTTGGACCCCCATTACAATCAAATTTATAACCTAAATATTGATTTACATCATAAATTTGGAATTTCTGTCGGTAGCAGTGAAGAGTGAGTAGAGACCACTGTTCTCGTAACCATGCTCTGTGTTTTGTACACCCTTTCACTCTCAAAGTGAATGATGGGGGTCATGTTAGATGCTTGCATACTTTGATGTCTGTGGAAGAAATCTTGTGGTGTGAAAATTCAAATCAAATCTAATTGGGAGTACGTACACAAAGTACTAACTTCTTTTCAGCACATGACCAAATTAAATTTGGAATTTTTGTCACATTTTATTTTACCTCGGAGAGTAACAGTTAAACCCCCATTTCTCACAGTTGCTATGCAGAACAGGATGTAACTGAATATAACTTCTCTTGAGACCCAACCATGACATAGGATTTACATCACATGCAAATTCAAACTTCTTGATGTAATAATTGCGTGGTAATTCAAGTTACCTTTGAATTTACTTTTGAAGAATACTAGGATTTAAAGGTTTTTAGTTGTAAGTAGTTTTGATCTAGAATCCAAATTTTAACAATTTGAGGTGCAACAAATGCTGAAACTTTCTTACCACAGTCATTCTGAAATGTCTCAGAGAACTCTTGAAAATAAATTTTGTTACCCCCGCAACTGCATAGCTTTGGCCTGCACCACAGACAAAATTAAACTTCGCAATGTGACTTGCGGGGGTTTAATTACATCTGAGACGCAGACTACATAATTATAACTTGTGTGGTCCCAATTATCATTCCAAGACAATGTTGTGGGTTCATTAACTGAGGTAATTTTCACACCATTTCCAATTCACCGTTATTGGATCCTCCTAAACTACCAATCTGCAAATTGAATCCCCACAACAAATACAATAATGGTAAATTCTTGGCCCTGTTTACCTGTTTCATGTCAAAAATGTCAAAAAAAACACCATCTTCTATAAAGTAGTCACCACTGATATTTTGGGCATTCAAATTTATGGATGATAATATTAATACCAGAGCCTCCCATAATGGCATTCTGTAAATACTATTATGATGATAATGATAAAAATAATAATAATAGTAATATTATGATAATTTGATGCTATACAATTTTGATATCTTGTTCAAAAAGTACTTGTCTCAAAAGATGCATTGGCAGAGGAAGTTTCATGGCATTCTTTGTTTTGTCTGGTTTAAGGTAGTTCCTGATTGCCGCAGAACACTGTAGCTGAAGTGTTCTTGGCCTTCGCTGGATATTTTCCATCCAGTCTCGAAGTCTTGAATCAGTCACAAATCTTTCCGCTGTTAATCCAAGGCAATTTTGAGTCCATAAATTGGCATTAGCTTGAATAAGTCTTTTGATGCACATTGTATGACTATGTCTTGCTGCTAAATGTAATGGTGTATCATTATAAGACGTCCCTTGGGTTACACACACTGTTTTAGCATCCACATCACCACCATATCTGCAAAATACAAGAATTAAGTCAGTCATTGAATAAATCTGAAAAATACGTCGGACCATTACTTGTATCCACTGTATTTTGAACCATGGAAAACTGCCTTGTACAAAATAATAAACAGTACCACAGGGAAGTACACCGTAGCGTGAATTGTCACTCTAAAATTTATGGACCACATTGTGTACCATAATAAACAGTACCACAAGAAAGTACACCTTCACTTGAATTTATGGATTCAAAAATAAGAATCACATTGAACAGCATGACAAACAGTACCACAGGAAAGTACACCTTCACTTGAATTTATGGATTCAACAATAAGAACCACATTGCATAGCATGATAAACAGCACCACAGGAAAGTACACCTTCACTTGAATTGACAGTCTCTAAAAATTATGGATTCAAAAATAAGAACCATTTTGTATAGCATAATAAACAGAACCACAGGAAAGAACTGCACAGTAGCTTTTATCCCAACTTTTTTCAACTTCATACAAAGTCAACTGAAAAGATAACTGCACTAAACAGTACCTAAGAAAAGTACTGCTCAGTGTTAGCTTTCATACAATTGGTCATATCAGTCACGAGTATGATTCACCAACTGGAGAGTTTGAAGTGCTTTCAGAAGAAACACATCACAGAGCTTCTCATTGTTTATAATGCCAATTTGCCTTAGAAGTAAATGGTGAACAAGTCAAGATAAACTAACAATACAAAACCTAAATTTTCAATCTGATTAAAATTCCCTTTTAAGTCAAGGAAAATTATTGAGAAGACGAGTATGGGAGTTCACAAGCAAAAAGAAAAGGGATAGCAAAGCAAAATAAGGGATTTCTGTACAACGGTTGCATGACCACAGAAGTTGTAACAATATAGATAAGAAGCTTACGTGTCTGCATTCCAGCATGTACAAGGTAGTAAAGATAGATTATAACCTTGCCCTTTTGGGAGAGTAGAATTTTTGTGGTTCTTAATGCAACTCTCATGTAACTTTTTCGTAACGTCAACACATTTCTTTAAGCTTGGCATATCACTACACAATTTAGCTAGGTGTTCAGCTTGTGAGATGGACACTTCTGAAAACTCTGACCAGTAAATGTTCAAAAAAGGAAATTATTATACAGGTATATATCATCAAAAAATTTAATCCTTTTGTAATGTGCTCCACACTGTGCCAACTGAAATTGAAGGGGTTTTGTGAGTGAAAAACTTTTGAAGGCCTATTATAACTTTTAACATACATCTCGAGGCCTTCCATTCACACTAATATGCTAAGCGCTTTCCTGGATAACTCACTGATTTGAAAACGCTCTTGAAGGTGGATCAAAACGAGAACACGAATTTGTGTGGACAGTTGAAAATGCATCAAAATGAAAATGATGACAGAAAATATTACAGGGGCATGTGATTGTAGCATGCACATCAAGTTCAACTTACATCACAACATACAATTCTATCATTTTCAAATGTTTTTGAGTACATAGTCGAAAACGTATCAGATCAGTCGTGTGGACAAGATTCAATTGATGTGTCTTCCATGACAAAAAAAATGCATGCTACTGAAAATGCATTTGTGTGGACAGGGCCTTATGAGAGAGTCTAGAAGGTTATCAATTCACTTGTTGTTTTCTTGGAGCACCTCTTCAATTGGTAAAAAAATTAATAACTCCCTTTGAAAAATGTTAAATACAAATTTACCCCTGTGGTAGAACAACTGAAAAGATTTCACTGACATGAGCACACCACAGAGGTTTCTCCGTAAGCTCAAAATTTAGGTCCAGCTCAGATACACTGTATGCCAAAATGTCACTAGAGCTGAGTCTGACTCAGTAGAAGATCTCACTGTAAATTCAGAATAAACAGGTTTGTTGGATATTAAGGTACATCTAAGAAATAAATTAAATACAACAATCTTATTAAAAAAGGTGCAAATAAGGTCTCAATAAGCACCTGATTAGAGCCTCCACACAAGACGTCCTTCCATACAATGCTGCTGAGTGCAGAGCTGTCCATCCTTCTGCTGTCTTAGAATTAACATCAGCACCTTGTCTCAAAAGAGCTTCTAAGCAGGCCAGATGACCATATTCTGCAGCATGGTGAAGAGGAACTTGGAGAATCTAAAAACAGTTATTTGAAAAACAAACTAAAGATTAAACATTGCAATTGTGAGACAGGGAAAAATCACACGTCAACAAAATATGTGAAATTTCATATACTAAGAAATAGCACCATATGATTGTTTTGCTATAGAGGTTTCATTTGAATGGTTTGATCGCATTCATAGGCTGAACAATCTATGGTATGTTGCATTCTTAATAATAAAGAACCTGGCAGTAAATCATAGGTTTCAAAACAGAGATTTGCACTATAAATCAAGAAAACGAAAGCTTGCTATTTAAGTAGCAATTTAATCCACACTGTGTACTCAACTGGAGCCTTGATCTGGTACTGAGTAAATAGAGAAGGGATTTTATGGAAAATGGGCGTTACAAGGATTAAATGTAAATCCTCCAATAAGTACCCTCCACTGGGTAAGCAACCCTGCTCCATGATCATCTAAATCCTTTATAAACCCTCCCCTCACACAGATGTTGGTATTTACCACCTAGGGTCTCCCCACCACATCGGTTTTTTCTTCAAACAGATTTGCTGATTAATTTTATTGTTTTAGTTGTCAGAACAAAACTTGAACTTAACAAAAGTTAATTTACTTTAAATAACTACATACAAAGCACACTGTAATTTAAACTTAAAATGTACAGCTTTGTGCATTAATATCCAGTATAAATGTGTTTGTGAATAAAAAAATTGTTATTCCCAAAATCAAATTAGTGATGATCCATCTAAAATTTGCAAAAATAAGGGCTCTAACTCAAATTATTGTCAGCATCTTGGCTATAAATGAAAGCCATATCCATTTTACCTCTAGGATCATATTCAAAATGTACCCGGGCTACTGCGGTAATGTTTTCATACAAATTAACCCTCTTGGTCACAAGAGTGACCAACATCAATTTTCTCTTAACAAATACATCAATGCATAATCAAGAGAAACGTTTGTGAGAATCAATAAATGTTTATCATCCTGAGGGAAAATGCTTTGATCTTTTATATCCCTAACCACATGCAAATTCTCCCGACTGATCGTCATATACTACCATAAAGAATAAGTTTTGAGAATTTGATAAAAGATCAAAGCATTTTCCCCTAAGTGAACATTTTCTCTTGATTATGGGATAAACTCATTCTTGTACTGACTAAACACCTGGTTCAGGACAGTATTTGGTATAATTTGGGATCTATAGACCTCATTTGATAAATTCTTAGGACCTGCTTGGAAAAGGAAGAGATGAGGCTGAAATTTGACAATTCCAGTATCCAACATCACAGTAGAAAGGGCACAGCAAAAGCAAAATTGGTGAACTGCACTTAATGATTAGTTTTACCCTAAGATATACCAAAAATGCTTGGAATTAAAGCTACACATGGGCAACCAGTCTGGGAACTGTGTAGAAATAATTGTTTTATCTTAATGACCTAAAAAGATTTGATAAATTTAGAGAAACAGCTTAAAACGCTTTTTCCCCTATCTGAATTATTTCACGCAACCAACAAATGATAAGCTTTATTGAATAAACAAAATAACACTAGCCTCAGGAAAAGGTAATCCACTCAAATTTGGAATTAAATCATAAGCTCCAAAAATAACTAACCAACACAGTTTCTACCATGTAAACTATTATCTAAAAGAACGCAGTCTAAAAACACTATTTTGGAATCCACTGCCAAACACTTTCCTTAATGTAGTTATAATGTATTCAAGCAAGCCATTATATAACTGTTTTCATTCCCTTACAACTAAATTGTTTATTTAATAGCAAACAAAATCCTGTGATGTCACCATTTTAACGTAACTACAGATTGAAGTTTCGTTTGGCACTATTTGGTTTATAAAATCTAACAAAACAGGAAATTTGGTATATTTCTTGAAATAATTTAATTCTTGTAACACATAATACAAAAAATGTTACCTGCTACTGAACAGGGAAAACCTCTGTAATAAGATTTTTGCACAGCTATCATATGCAGCTTTAATAATTATTAGACATATTCACACAACATACATGCATGCAATAATTTATTATTTCACATAACATCAACTGCCTCTAATAAAAGTGCTCACTCAAAACCAAACCCCACTGCTTTTTGAAAATAGCTTTCTTTCTAACAGGAAAATGCAGTGGAGCAGTGACGTAAAGTCCTTGCTATACTGCACTATATGTATTTCCATGTGGGCGTTGACGAACAAACACTTGAACTAATCCCATTGTTGTGGTAACCACAAAGTTAAATGGTCCCAACATTGGTACTCATAATCATTCTCCTGAAACAAGGCATTTTTAGCAAAACTTATACATATATTTATATTTATATCAGACCACTATTTTTTAAAGGCATTTTTGCAAAACTTATACATATATTTATATTTATATCAGACCACTATTTTTTTTTTGCTTATTTCAAATGCAGAGTACTTTCAATTGTTGATGCTCTGGGGCAATCTAAAACTCTTTAATTTTGTCCTAACAAAGAAATGCTAGAAAAATACCAAACAAGTAAATAAAAGACTTCCATGGGAATACATGAAGCACCATTAGCAATTTTAAAAGTATTATGAGGCTGTAAAAAATTACACAGAAAGTAATAAACTTTGAAGTGACATGCTAGGAGACACTAAAGCTCAGTCATAAACAGGGCTGTCATTAGGAGCCAGGGACCAGGGATATCCCCGGCTACTATGAGCGTCGTCCCTGGCTACTGTTATTGGAAAATAAAAGAAAAATACAACCAAAAGAAATCCCTAGCTGTCTGATTCCCTGCCTACCTGTTGTATTTACCCAGCAACTTGAAATCTTAGTGACAACCGTGGTCATAAAGTTCACAAATTCAGCTAAAAATAACACCAGTTTGAAACACGAAAACTGTAGGAAAGGTAAATCCATGTAGGACTAATAACAACACTGACGACAAAAGACCTGCTTGAATAAAATGGGGAGATACGGCATCACCTGAAACTGTTTTTGTACTACTTGTATTGCAGTAACTTTTATCACTGTCAGGCTCCTTTGATTAAAAAAGTTTGTCAAATTTTCAGATAACAAACTGTTCCTTAAAGGTTTACAATGCTTTAGTTTGTTTTCAATCTTTCAAGAATAACCAAAAAAAACAGTACCCCTAAAAAACATTTTACCAAAACACGGCTGGTTCACTTTGCTACCAAAAATGGTCAGAATCTGGCAAAACAATGCAACAGAGACCCTTATTTTTTTCCGTTCTACTTCAATCTTCAGTGAAAAACAAGGACACTGATAAGAGTCCTTTATGACCAGTGTTTGTGAGACTGATACAAAACAGACTACAGAACTTTGTGCTGATTACATTTCTATGCACATTCTTAGAGTCGTTCTAAAGACTTGAAACACAGTTTCCATAAGCATTTAGATGAAATGTAACCTTCTGTAGTTTTTAGAATGGTGGTGTAAACTTTGCACTAAGAAGCCACAATAATCCAGGGAAATCAACCACAGCCTGTTTGCAAAACTCTGCCAGGTGATCTTAATAAAAAAAATTATTTTTTTTGTTCATAGTACCATTTCCACTACAATGACTATCAAGTAGGTTTTGTGTTAGTGTGCCAATAACAACATTATTGTGTCTTTGAAAAGCTTCATTCAAGCACTGTACATTTTATCCAAGCCTGGCAAACTCACCCAGTCAAAACATGTTATTCTTTACCAGAAAAGCAAACACTTTTTGCCATTTTTTACTTCCTAGTAGAAATAAGAGTGTCCTAGAAAACTAAACATGCATGTTTCATTACCCCCATCCCCCCCTCACCCTGTTCTTTTACTGTATGTCAGCAGTACCAAGCTGCTGTGGTGAGCACATCTCCATGACGATTGACTACTGCCAAGCCTACTTCTAAACAAATTTAATTTCTTAGCACGAGAGGATGTTTGCGGCAATTAACTCATTGTGTTAAACGAATAGGGGTACTGTTATCACCACAGGGAAGTTTTAGCAGGTTAACTTCATCAGAAGGAAGATTACGAGTCCTTGAACAGTAAAAAGACCATGAAGTCTTGGCGAACTGATGCAAAAACATGAAACAATGTCTTGAATCAATTGGTGGTGTTTCCCCTAGAAAATGGCAGTTGGTTTAAGGGAAAGAAAAAAACACCTAGGAATGACTGAATTCATTTCTTATTGTGGCACATGGTGACATTTAAATACCGTGAAAATTCTTAAACAAGAAAGATGCATTCAAAACAAGCCAATCTTGAATGAGTTTGGTTACAGCCCAGAAGCAATATCAGCCTGAAGATAAGAACTTAATGAAAGCTCCTAAGCACCCTGAAATATTAAAATCTTAAAAAGTGATTGCTTTGTAGCAGGCATGCATATTTCTTCAAGTCCTCAGGGCAGAAACCTTACACTGGATTTTTCCGATCTTGATTACCTTTCAATCCGAAATAACTTAACACCTTCTTGCTAAATATGAGCTAGCACATGAGTTATGAGTAATATACAAGAGGCACATAGCCAGGTCAGGCAACAGTCTGGGGGGCTACATTTTTTGGATAATTTGCACGCTCTTTGTGATAAGAGTGATATCCCATGGCAGTGAAATTTATTATCTCATGAGAGATAACCATCTTTCAGTTCTCTCGTGATGCATGCGAAAAGTTCGAATCTTTTCTTTTTACCTTGATCAATTTCTCCTCCATCGTGCGCGTGAGAAGAAACAAGACCTTTCTGTAATTTATACCTGGGTGGTGCGAATAGAAAATATCGTCGGACGAAAACGGCAAATCTGGGCACTTGAGTGCACTTGTCATGACTACATTCTCTAGAAGCGCGAATGATTGGAAGTAATATAAAACCACACCTTTATAGAGCATTCTTGGGCACTTCATAGAATAAAACCTACACAATTGGAACTTCGAATCTCGATCTCATGTGCCGGAAAACAACATGCATGTATAAGCTTATTTCAAATTTCCATTTCTGCGCTCCAAATCAGAAGCATATGTTGTGCGTCCATAGGCGCTCGACATTCAACAGAATACAATTGGCCCGTGGCCATTAATCAAAAAATATGACAGAAAGTGCCAAATACTGCAGGAAAGAGCATAAATTGCGAGTTTAAGAAACAGACAGCCGCCGTCTCTGAAAGAGCGCGCGAATACAGGTCTTTGCCAGACAAAATGAATTTAATCGAAAACCTTGATTATCCCACAAGATTTCCCCTCAGTATAAACGCGGATCCATAAATTCTCCGACGTGAATGAGTCGAGAGAAAATAATCCAAAGCCTATTAAAAGTGTTTCACAGGACGCAGGAATGACGGATTATATTTAGTACAACCTGTCACAAAATACAATAAACCCCAATACAGTTAGACTTTGCGGAGACAGGATAGGTGTCTTTAAGACTTCTAGACTCAGAATACGGATAAGTGAAAATCCAACAGCTTCTTAAAAACAAAGAAGTATTCCCTATTTGGGAAGGGCATAAATTTCAACACGGGCCAAAGGAAACGCTAAACCATTCAATGAAAAAAATTAATTACGCTCGCAATAGAAGGCCAATTTTGTAAGATGTTTTTCTGAAACAGAAAAATATCTTTTCTCGTGTTTTTTGCTTGCCGAGGACACCAAATACCTGTACATTTTTACGACTCCTGCGGAGTGAACGACCTTTTTAAAACATAAACAGAAGTTCTGTAACTGCAATTAAAATTATAGGGTTACTTGATTACGTACGAGTTCATAGCTTAATCACGGAACAGCCAGGGCCTGTCATATGGTCACTGGTTTGTCAGTTCAAACAGTGGGATGCAAGAGTTTTTCCCTTCAAGATCAATGGGGCAATATAAAATCTGCCCCCGTAATTATCATTTAGCGATCCGTAAAACCAGGCGGACATCGCCGAGAAACATGTTCGCGTTTTCAAATTTAGAGCTTTCATGGCCTCTCGCTCCCCCCAGCTGCGAAGTTCGAACACAAAAAAAATATCGGCGAGCTAATAAACATGAGAGACACATGCAAATGAAATGCGCTGCAAGAAAACTTTCCCCTACAAGAAATAAATCACGGTTGTTCAATAAATACGATAAGACGCATCAAAACGTGCGTAGTCGTAAACTTTCAGCTCACTTACCCTCCAAGATGGTACTAAAGGAGGATCAACTTCTGCGTTATAAAGTAGTAGAAGCTCCACACACATTGTATGTCCATGGCGTACTGCCGTGTGTAGAGGCCTCCAACCACCATTTGCGGTGGCATTTACATTAGCCCCATGTTGTAAGAGCACTTCTAAGCAGTCTTTGTGTCCATTTCTCGCCGCGTAATGTAAAGCAGTCCATTGACTTCTCGTTGCGGCGTTCACGTCCGCGCCATGGTTTATAAGCGCAATCAAACAGTCCACAAATCCTTGTTCTGCTGCTTCATGTAAAGGAGTTAGCCCGTCATAGGTCGCTATATTTACATTTGCTCTATAAGTCAGTAAGATCTCAACACATCTAAACTGCCCATGTCTGACCGCCTCGTGAAGAGCTGTTTTCCCAAATCGGTGGCAACCATCGATCGGGGCGCCAGCTTTCAACAATTCACGAAGATCCTTCTTTGAGCCTTTGTAAGCGGCTCTTTTCAATTTACAGACTAAAACTTCAGGAGTTACTTCCACTTGTTCGCGCTTAGAACAAGGCGCGTTGCCCATCGTTATGGCTTTCACATACGTGATGAAAAAGAAAGGACTTAGTTCAATGTCAGAGACATGATGTCTAGCCAAATTCTACGCCAGTTTACGTTCTAATTTCGTAGGAGTACATTGAGGCGGGACACTTTGGTACCTAACAGGGGAGGAGACGGGAAGCCAGACATAAAAACTTACAAAATGTATCTTGTGGGATTCACGAAAAGGGAATCAATATAAAAAATCAAAATTTTTTCCAACTGGATGCTCTCAGATTTTTCTGTCCAAAAACACCAAATCTACTCTGGTTTCAGTCAACGAACGAAATAGTTAATTGAATTTTCCTTTGATGGATAATTATCGTCCTAGGTGGTAGGGGTAGAATGACAAATAAATACTAGGGGTGAGGAGGGCAAAAGTCATAACAAAGATGTCAAACATTTATAGCTTATTATCGCCTGAAAATAACGCTGTATTAGACGATAAATATATTGCTAGGTAAAAAAATTCACACACGTCAGGAGATGCGCTGTTTTTCGAGGAAAAGCTATCTGTAACCGTGAATTTTTGGACATAAATATTGCGTGAAATTACACTACCCCAGTACACTATATCTCCCTTTGTGGTTCCGACCGCCAACTTTTGATAGGTTCGCGCACGGTGTTTTTCAAAGATGGCGCCCGAGGTCATTCGATAGGAGTGCAAACAAAAGAGGAACAGGATTTATCTAATTTTTGTTGACTTACAAGTTCAGCTAAACTATGACGAAAATGAAAGATGCTTCTCGTGATAAGCTTGCTGAAGGTATCGAAGCAGACGGGCATTATTATTTTGCTAATTGAAGGTAATAGTTTCGCGATTTAGCTCACATCCTTTTAGAATTTCTGACGTGCGCGAGTTTTGGCGTCTCGATGCGCTGCAGCGTATATGTGATCGTTTCTAAGTTTCAAGCACTTCAACGAGGAACGCAAATGTGTCATACGCATAAATATTAGATCAGTTCTAGACAAAGCGTCAGTATTTGTTCTATCGGCTTCCTTTCTCAAGGACGTATAGTATGCCCTCAGGTCAATTACCTATTCTTTGATAGGCGCCAGACTTTCTGTGCATAAAATTTACTCGCCCAAAAATCGACCCTCTATGGCGGCACACGTGCGCAAGGAAATTGCTTCATAATTGCCTCTGTAGCCAATTCCTCTCTGCTGTCGCATACCTCGAGGAGGGGAAAGGTGGTTTCTTTTGATTATGCAAAAATTATTGAGGTGTTTTTGGAACTTTCTCGTGCTGGCAAGCTGCGGATTTGACATGCGAATATTGAGTGTTTGTGATTTATCATTACCTTCGAAAGGGAAAATTTGCACGGAACCATCGGACGTGTTTAATTGCTACAGTGTTTTTCGGCGAATTGACGCGTAACGAAAGCTTCTAACTATGGCTGTTTAAAAGCAATTCATTGCTAATGAGTTTAAATTCTATTTGAAGTAAAATTTGTCGTCATCCTCCGACCGAGGTGAAAAAATTGACTAAGTTTCTCACAGAGATGGCCACCGTTTCCAAAGTGAGGCCAGTGGAAACTCCCGTTTAGCTCAAATGTCAGCCATTGGGTAATTTGTGGGTTTTATATGTTTCTTAAGATGTTCACTTGACCTTCGAAACAATAGTATGGTACCGATCTTTGGTTATGTCTTTTTTTGTTGGTAGACCAATTTCTATATAAAATATCCTTAAGAATGCGAAGCTTCAACAGCTTTTAGTGAGGCTGTCAGTTTGTAACAATTGAAATATTGGCAAATGGATTACTAAAGAGACCTTTTGTAGGTTGAGCTCGTCACTAAAGAGCCTGACTGTCTAAGGTGAAGAGACACCTCGTCTTGTGGAAAGTTGTTTGCGAATGCCCTCAAGAAAAACTTCACATTTTCTATTTTATTGTCTCTCCAGATGCACGCATATTATAAATGTTTAAAAATTTTAAGGTGTCCACTAAATTGGGATATTAAAGCAGAAAGCTTAAAAGCAATATATTTAATATGTATATATTTATACTTATACATGTTGCATTTCAGCTGATTTTAGTGTGGTGTATACGTATCCAGACATCATTAAGAACTACACCATCTCTTTGGCATCTAAAGAGGAAGTGTAAGAATAACAATTACTGGTTAAAAAACATGATAATATTCAAGATGCAGTGGTGTGAATTTTCAATTTCTGTGTGATGCCTAGTTTGGAATAAAAAAATTAATAATGTATCTGAAGACATTTGAGCAGTGATTTGTTTCGTTTTAGAGAAGTAAATAAGGATGTCATCATCTTACGAAATAAAGAGGAATATTAAAAATCACAAGTTAATACGCACTGACAGAATTAAGATTGTGTAATTTCTAGTTTTAGCTCCGTATTAGAGTTTAATATATTTTATAAGAGGGACATTAGAACCTGCTTTCAAAACTATTATGCAAAGGTGAAAGCCTGCTTTACTGAACTTTTATTCATCAAACATTTTTACCGAGTTTTTTTTTTCATTTTAGTATTCAGACTGGTCGAAATCATAACAATGTTACCCTTGAATTAACATAATTATCAAACATGGTATGATAATTTTTGTTAAGTAAAAGAGAAAAAACTGAAATAAACTTTTGATAGATTGTGGTTATTGTGATTGTAGTGACTTAGATCATTGTAGTATCTTTGTATGAAGAAAATCTTCAAGGAAACATAACAAAACACATTTTCTGAACAACAAATCTGCCCTTCCATGAAATCATTCAAGTGCCAGATGTTCTAAGGCTACATCTAGTCTACAAGGTGGTTAGGAGTGTCTGATAAAAATTTTCTATTTTGATCTTTGATGGCCCTTGAAAATATCTTTTAAGAAATTTGATGAGATGGTGGATGACTGTATAAGTGCCTTAGTTCACAACCTTATAATCTTCTCATGTTGTGAGTTGAACATAAGGTGACTACTCTCTGATAGTGATCTTTGAAAGTGGGTCATTTCAGCTTCCTAGGCCACCCACAATTTCATCTTTAACCTATATATCCTACATAGGGGAAATTCAAGCCTCTTATATTCTGAAGCTGTTTAGCAGCACATTTCATCCGTGATTCTGTTGAGAATCTTGTGTAAGTGTAGTTTTGACTTCAGTGCCTTTATATGGCATCTTCCATGACTATCTGCTGTAGTTTAATTTTCCCTTCTTTCAAACTCATTATCTTGCATACCCATTTCCAAAAACAAAAGAAACAGAAAATGAAACCAAGGATAAAATTGGGCCACAAGCTCAAAAATAGCCACAAGGAGTAATGTATGTAGCCCTATAACTTTTTTAAGTAGAGTTGTGTGCTGTTGAAAGGCTTTCTGTGTCACAAGCAATATTGTTGTAAAACCCTGTTGCTTGTAAGACTGAGAATCAACAAGTTTCTTCACATCTAAAGACAGACTTCACTTGTCTCTTGTTTGTAAACATTAGCTGTGATCTCCAAGGTTACTTCCCGATAATTTCCAGTGGTGAATTCTTTATAGCTTAATTATATATATTTTGTATTTTGACAAAATATTTCTTAGCTAATTATAGTTCTTTTTGACTATATTACAAGGTCTTTTGAAAGTTTTGTAGTGCTTGAATATTAGCATTTGAACTCAATAGATGGTAGTGACTGAGTGATTTTGTGACTTGCCCCGGTAATTGAAAGAGAGATAACCATGGCTTTAGTGGATTTCATTTCGACATTCAAATTTTACACACTTGAAAGGGATAGTGTTCAGAGATCTCTCCTGGCAACGTTTTTTCGTTTTTTGGTGGTGAATAAATTACCCATGAACAACAACAGAAAACCAAATTTAATCAAAGTGTTATTCATTTATACCTTTTGCTGGTTAGGTAAGGGTCACAGTCCGATCAGCACTGGCTTGCCCCAACTCTAGATTTGATTCTCCGGGTATTTAAATACCCAAAACTATAAGAACCTGCTCAGCCTGGCAAAGAAAAATAGGATCTTATGCAAAAGAATCACTCCAATTTTAATTTTTCTGTATTTTAATTGTGTGAGAAACTTCTCACAAAAAGTTATTGTGTGTATGTTTTCTCTTGATTTATATTCGTTTGGATTTTCACCAGTTCCATGAACCATTATGAGGTACTTATTACAATATTTCTGCCAATGGTTACACTACGACAGCCTGTGAAAAATAAGAACCAGTTAAGAACCTTACACTCTACATCAGAAAGATCTGTTTTAGCCCTAGAAATAGTGCCGTTTCGGTGAGTAAAATACAGTCCTATTTATGAGTCTAATTTGGCTCCCTTAAATCAGGGCCAATACAGTCCAATTAGCAAGGGCTGATTTGGTCCCAGGGCTGAAATGGGCCTAACCGTGGGCTGGAATAGCCTTTTGTTTGAGCTTTTTTGGCCTAAATTGTGCTCAAATGGCTCCAGGAAGGGCTGAATCAGACTTTGGCCTGCAGGGCCGAATTGACCCTTTGGGACTGAAACAGATCTTTTAAATTTTCAGTGTACCCCAAAATATAAGAACCTGTTCAGCCCGACCTCGAAAATTCTAGGTTCTTATATGCGGGTTTTTACTGTACGTTTTGGGATTTAGGGTTAGGAGACAGGGAATTTTGAACTGAGCTTTAGGTGTTTTGAAAACCTTGACCGGCAGCCGGCCGTGGGTATAACCACAATAAGTGTAAGCAAAGCACAGTGAACAGTTTTTAAACATTTCCCCCAAATAACATTGTCAAACTTGAACTAGTAGTTTTTATATTATAAGGTCGATCCATTCATTTCAGTTTCAAGTGTTCAGTTGATCGCGCGCGTTGCGCGGAAATCCTGAAAAAGAAAACAATAGGTTTAAAATGAGAGAAAATCAAAGTACGACTATGGTGATCTCGTCGATACGTTGTTTCGGAAAAGAGAGAAAATTGCAGCCTCGTACCCAGGCATGTTAGCGCTATCCGAATGACCAGAGGAGGCTTGGAACCGAGCGCGATAGGCGAACTTGACAGGTGACGTCACATCCGAAATCGCCGAGGACGACTGGGAACGAGGCTGAGAAATGGAGAAACAGCTGTCGTACGCAGAATCAGACTTGATACTTGC